AGGAGATTCCTCATTAAACCGGAAGTGCTGCTGCAGTACCAAGGCCATCCACCAGGAGGCCCATATTTGACCTTGACCTTTGTCCTCCTAAGACCTACCAGCATACCAAATATCACCACAATCCATAAAGGCGTTATGGAGTTATGAAGTTACAAATGTGCGGAAACACAAACACACATACCCACACACACACACACACACACAGACGCGCCAAAAACAATACCTCCATTTTCATTAAGGTAAATATATAAAATTTCATCATTTCAGTCCATTGAATACGTATGGATTACATGTTGTTTTTGACCATGTTTCGTTTCCTCCTTCTTCCTTCATTTTTTGAAATGGATTGAAATACTTCAATTGACCAATTTGAAATGACCTGAAATTCGGCATGGAAGTAGACAGAGTGGGCAAGTACCTCTATGCATTTTTTTCTTGATACAGACTTTTAGAATTGCTTTATGTTGGGCTTTTTGGCTCCAAAGTTTATTTGTAGAAAATGCTGTAATAAAACGAACAGAGCTATATATGGCTTTAGGCGTAAATAAATACTAGCAACTTTAGCCTTTGTATTCTACGATTATAACCCATGAACCCAGACCCAGCTCACCTTGCTGACAGTTCTGTCCAGTCCATCCAACAAAGCACGTACATTTGTATCCGCCATCTTGATTCACACAGCGTCCATGTAGGCAAGGTTTGCTGACACACTCATTTCTGGCTGTGTGATAATAGAAAGAGACCTATATCTAATGCAGGCTCAGAAAAACATTTAATTATGCTTAACTTTCGACACTGACTAGTGATAGGTACACAAATGACTCAGAAACTTAGACATATACTCAACTAAAGTACACACATATGTTACAAACTATCACAATCATGTATCATCGGAATATTTATCATACGTATTGACAATGAGTGGACATATATTTTGAGTCATATTCCAAAAAAGATCTCTCTCTATTTTCTTAGCACTAGAATGTTAAGTCACACAGGTCCAAAACTGAACGGGTTTTCAGATCACATACGTTGAGAGGAAAGAAAAGCACCAAAATAGGTCCTGTTTGATCACAATATTCAACATTATATGAGAAAAGTGATTTTTGTTTGTCACCACTGAGTCATTGTTAGTAGTCGGACAGTCGAAAAATACAACATTGGAGCCTAATGTCACGAACCTTGTCTTATATGCTAAGGACAGATTTTTTTTGTCCTTCTACGTGTTAGATGCCTATTCAAAATGATTACGCAAGTTATAATTGCATATATTCATTTGATTATTACTTCAGGTGAGATCAGAAAATATTCCTCCCGGCATATTAAATCACACACGCCAACACACTAGTCAAACACTGTTGACAACACTCGTGTTGGAATTCAGACCCCTGACATGCCCCGATGTTGTGTCTTTGGGAAATCCATCATATATTTACCAGAATTTACAACAAAAATATGACAGGGCCCTTATTCGAGCAGCCTTGGTATTCCCTAGGTCTTTGTCTCATGTTGTGCCAGCCAACTCGTACTCTAAGTTATTCCAGCTTGTTTGAATCGTAAATGTTTATTGCTTAGAGAGAAGAAATGCTGTTTTGGTCCCGTAACCTTGAAGTGACCTTACGTGGTAAACATAGGGTCATGGTTACACATAATTATATGGGTGATATCTGCTCGGGTATGAATTTCCGTACGCGTTTCCCCTAAATAGGTCTTCGACCCTAGTGTAAGTCTTAGGGATTGTACGATATTTAGGGGGGGGGGA